GACAAAATCTACAACATATAAAAAATTCAGACAATTTGACAGAAACCCAATTTCCATAAGATTATTGCGGGGTCCTTTTGCAAGAGTGTATATGCAATGATTTTTTGATTAAATAGCCACATACATAGTTAAATGCATTTTAAGTGGTCACATTTAGCTCCCTGTAGTCACATTCAGAAATCGTTATTGCCCCAACTGATTGTTTTGAAATATATTTAATTTTCATTAAGCGGAGAACTTGTTTTCCTAAGGGAAAAACGAATCCCGGGATTCCTTTCCACGAGCCGCCACTGTTTTTAAATGAGGTTAAATTAAAAAATAGTTTAGTTACAAAATTATAAAACGACTTTAAATTCCATCCAAAAAACTAGTCATGATAATTTAGGGTTAAAAAAATCATTTAACCACTTACTTAGCGTTGTATTATGATGAAAATGGTTCATAGTAAAGCACAAACTTTACTTTATTTAGAGCTTCTTTAAAAATTCAGGAAATTTCTCTACTTTTTTCAATCATTGTCTTCGCGGTGGTTGATATTTTGCATGCAATATTTTGCCGCCATTATGATGGTAACTGGTAACAAGCCTTATTAAAAATCGAGCACATTACAACGCTACTTTCAGTAACTAGCTGAAGTGCTTTACAAGAGAAGTCACAAATTAAAAAAAAAGATGAATTTCTAACTTCAGATCACAAAAAGTTACTAAAACCTCCGAGCAATTACTAATAGAGGGAGCGTGAAAACGAGTTTGTAGGCGATTGTTGTGTTAGCAACATCTGTAGAGGAAGTGAGGAAGCGGGCACAAGGGGGAAGGTAAACATCCTTCTTGTTCAGTGGCGTATCATTTATCTATAAAAACACACATAGTCCAAATGTTTTAATTGTAAAAAAAAACTAAAAAATTTGCTAATTTTACTATTTTTAAAATGAGTACAGTCTTATATGTGTCTAATGCAAGAAATCAAATAAAATCACCGTAAAGGTCTAATTTTTTTAAGTGTAGAATAAAACCTTAAAATTAATTTTATTATAAATTCAGGAGCGACTAGTTTTGGCCTTACAGGAACATCTTCAGGCCTGTAATACAATATTCTTTAATTATTACAATAGGTTGGTCACTTACGAATAACATTAATAAGTATAAACCACAAAATGGATCCATATTGTAGCGTTACAGCATTATAGAATTAAAGATGTGAAAATAAAGGAGCAGTGCAAACGTAACTAAAAATAAGGAAACTGAGTACGGAATCTACAAGGGAAGAGGTGAGAATGAGCAATTACAAATGCATTTAAATTGCTGGTGATAACAAATAAAGCTGATAATGTAGTGGTATAGTCCCCGTCAAAGAAGGTCTGGATATGTTAAAGAAGACGGCGTTTTCTCTGTAAATCTGGAGAATGTGATGGAGGGAAGACGAATCTTGCTGGCTTAGGTGTAGATAGCTAGAAAAAGGAGCGTGTAGATGAAAGCTCCAGTAAATATCGTCACTTTCGTCTAATTTTTTATTCTCACTCACCGTTTCGGCTTTATCTTCGAAATTCATTTTTAAAAGGAAATAAAAGTAATCATTCATGCAAGCATAAAATAAAACAACATGAACTCACTATATTTAATAAACTAATAAACGATTGTTTCAATGAAAAAAACATATATGTGAATATAAAAAATATATAAATAGATAAGAATAATATCAAAATCAATTTAAAAATACAACAGATAATAAAATGAAATAAATTAATACAAGTACAAATAGAAAGTTAATAACATACCTTCTAAAAGTAACACATTTTAAGTAGATAAATGTTTAAAGAGTTAATTCCTGAACATAACTAATCTAACGTTTTTCCCCTTTTTAATATTATGAGGGTTTTTGTAGTTGAAATGAAAATTATAATTTATTTTGGTCCTAATAAAAATTTAAACATAGGTTATCAAAGAGTAAAATACATAATAGAACTTCATAATCTTAAATCGTTATCAAAAATTATTAATGGTAAAACTTCAAACAATAATTAGATTCTTAAACAAATTTCTAGTTTTTGTTCTGCAAAAAAATTTTTTGCCTTCTTCGGTTGCCTCTGCCACTTTTCTTTTAGTAGTTTCGAGGAGAATTTTCCTATGGAAACCAGTAGAACCATCAATTGGTTGGTAAAATTTTGATATGTTGGGTCTGGTAAGTCTTGTTAAACTCTCTTCTTAGGAAGCTGTAACCTTATGGAGAATAAAAATTTAATGTTAGATCAAAAGCTCTTAATTGAGAATTATATTTGCAAAGGCCGTTTTAATATTTTCAAAAGTTCTTGGAATCGTTGTTAACAGAAACCTGCAAAAAATATATCATTTTATTCCTAAAATATAAGATATCACACAATGCACATTCATATAATATCATTGTGCTAGAAAAATACTAGGTAGGTACTGAGACAATTTAAAAAAAGTATTTCGAGAGACTCAACTTTTAATGTCATCATTGTACTTAACTTTTTTATTGCTAAATTATTAATAATGTCATTTTGTGTAGTTCGTTGTGATTTGTATAATATATATTATAAAAACCTATCGTCAATGTTAATGTGCCAAGTTTTTTTAATAATTATGTCCTTGTTATAGTAAAACACATTTAAACACATTTTTAAAGTTTTCTGGATTTCTGCTATAAATTATCGTACAATTGAACTGACTAATTGTGTGTTTAAGTAAAGGTATATCTCTTTTTTGTTATAACAGTCTTTGTATATTGTTCTAACTTTTTAGATAATCAGAGAAAACAGTAAGACATCTTAATATATTCTATTTCACCAACAAAAATGTAGAATAATTAATCTCACATCAAACAAAAAAAGTCATTTTAGGATGTCCTAATAGGTTTTAACTTAAAAACTAAATAAAATGTATATTGCAACTGTATTTAAATAAATGATTGTTTTTATACCTGACTATAGCACCAGACAAACGTTTTTTTAGATCATAATGATCTGCATAACTCAAAATAGTCAAAATCCACATTATTTAAGTTGTTCTTGTATTGTTTTAGCATAACGATGTAAACTCCAATAATAAATACTCACATTTATTTGGCACGTTTTTTAAGGAAATTTAAAAAAACATCAATAATGTGATATTCTTGTTTAGTTTTATACTATATAATATAGTTCATTAGGTAGTGATTTAGAAGCAAATTATGTTCTATTTATAGAATAAAAAATCACTCATAATATCTAAATATTTATACCTATTTATATTTTGGACAAGAAGACTATTTCATGGTTTTGGCTCTGAATAGTTTTCTTAAGAATTTTAAAACCTTCCTTAGCTCTTTTGGGATATTCCATGCATATCTTAGAAGTTCATTTTGTTTAAACCTAAAACAAATTAAGTACAAAAAATGAAAATTTAAACAATACACAAAATTAGTCTTTTAGATTAGTTTAAAAAAGTGTCAACAAAAAAATGGCTATGCCTTTTTCCTTAAACATTCTTTTTGAAAGAAACTTAAGTTTCTCTACTTACTTGCTGTTTTAGTATTTTAGTAGCTGCAGATGAATATAGTGTAGAAGTAGTGACAGGATTGATTATTATACTTCTTTCGTCGAAATTGCATTTTTCTTTAATATTTTCTTCCCCTGAGGTCTGTAATAAAAATGTTCATTAGCATAAAAAGTTATTCAGGTGGTCACTTGTTGAATTCCTATATTTTGAAACCATGTATTTCTTTCTCATATCAAGAAAAGGAAACCTAAAAAAAATAACAATAAACTTTACAAAGATGTGATATAAAATAATAATAAGTAATTAACCTTTACTATAATCATTATGAGACGGATGAAGACGAACTTAGCTGGAGTTTAATTGCTCTTAATTTGAATTTTTCGATAAGAAAATAAGAAAGTTTAATTGCAAATTAAAGATGATTGCCTTAGGCACCGCCTCTGATAATTAGGTTGTGTCTGTACTTACTTATGATATTATCTTGAAGAAGCATTTTTAACGGGCCTTTTACACATAAAGCATGTTTTCGCCATAATAATAGAGATAATAAATCTTAAATATACATTTACAACCCTTACAACGTTATAAATAATAATATTTTTCGTAAAATACAAATAAGAAATTGACACGTGTCAGAAAGTGTCAGAACTGGCGCTGTCAAACTTGGCAACGCTGATTAAATAAGCTAATTACAGAAGAGGTATTTTCCCCCTCGGGGGGAGTAGATGTTGCTAACAAAATTTAGCGCGGGGAAGGGGGGAAGACTCCCTCTAGTAGTAATTGCTCGGAGACTAAATCTCCCTGTTGCCCCTCGTGGTCAAACCTATGAACTACGGATCTAGTGATAAAATGCCGGATTTGGTATTATTTTAAGAATTTCTACTAGAATCCAGTAATTGGCTTTAATACGTATTTTTTGTATGATGTAGTTTAATTACAAAATTATGAAACAAATTTAAATGCCATCGGAAAAACTGTTCATGATAATTTAGTGTTTTTAAAAAAATCATTTAACCACTTATTTAGCGTTGTATTATGATGAAAATGCTTCATAGCAAAGCTCAAACTTAACTTTATGTAGAGCTCCTATAAAGAATGTGGAAATCTTTTTGCTTTTTTAAATCACTGTCTTCGCGTTGGTTGATATTTTGCATGCAATATTTTGCCGCCATTATTGTGGAAATCGCAGCCTTAACTACGCAATTTTTCTCCTATCCCTATCTCTTCTACTTTACAAGGTCCCTGTGAAATAGTGCCCACCTTGTATACAAGACACTTTTCTAACTTAGAAGTCGTAAAATGGAAATCGTACATTTTGTGAAACCTGGTATAAATAAACATGCGCTGCGTACACGCCTATAAAACTTTTTGTTAGCTACAACAATAGAATAGGAAATTGAATAGTTTTTCCAGCGAGCTGGAATTTTTGTCCTACATATCGACGCTCAACTGACACAAAAGACCTTGTCTCCTTAACCCCTTTATTTTTTTGTTATTTCTTTCAAGGCTTTCGACGCCGTTTTCTTCCAAGCCGTCTCGCAAAACGGAGTCTACATCTGCACTGGAACTGAGAGAAGGCATAATGCAAAATTGGCCGCTGTCGTTTACGTAATAGTAAGTACACAGCTTATACAATATGAGCTGTGGTAAGTATTTAAATTTTTAACTAACTTTTAAACAATGAACAAACGAAAAATATTATTAAATTTACGTAACAATTTGATCTGTCTAATCTATTTATAGTCATGGCAATAAAATTAGCTGGATTTTCATATTAAAAATTATTCGGCTTACGCTAATAGTATAAAGACTAGAGATAAGGAGGCAAAACGGCATATTTGAAATACGGTCCCAAAAACCGAACGCTAATTCAGCTTTTTTAATTCACCGCAAGGGGGTGGTGCTAATAGTGCAGTTCAAAATACACGGCTTCTTATGGGAAGTTTACATAATTTTATCAAAATGATAAAAATAAACTTATTTATTGCCAAATAAAGCACAAAATATACTGTTTTATTTATTTCTAAATAAGTCTCACATGTTTTAATTAATAAATTATTTAATTTTATCTATATAAAATGCAAATTAGGTAGATATGACCAAATTCGAAAAGATTTGTTAAATGGTGAAATTTGGTAACTACAATTTTGTGTCTAAATTTTTTCGAATTATACTTAAGTATAGTTTTAAGAGTAAAATATAATACAGTTAAAAGAATTTTTATTGTTACCATTCAAGCATAAAGGGAGATTTGGGAATGTACATGATATTGCCTGGTCCTTTAATTTCGGTTTTCCATTTTTTATTTTGCTAACAGTATCATCAGTAAAAGAGTCTCATAATATTTTGAAATATTTTCTAAAAAGTGTAGAACAGCATCATCTCTATAAAGTGGTTTATTAGGAACGATATACAGGGTGTTTCAGATTTAAACGGACACAGCTTAATGGGAAGAATGATTTTATGATTTTTTGCCACAATTAAAGTCAACCATTTTGTTTGAACGGCTAGAGATATTTTGATAAAATTTTGTACAAAAGTTACACTCTCTTAGAATAATCAAAGCCATAATTTAATTTTAAAAAATTCCAGGACCGGACTATCGTTTTTATATTGCTCTTCTTAGCTAGAATATCACCCTGTATATCGGATTTTAATAAATGTTACTGCACAGTTAAATAGTATGTGGATCAACAAATAAAACAATGTACTATTATTTAATGACACATCTTGATTTTCTTACAGTAAATGTTTATAATGGCGACTACAATATTATAAATCAGTATTTACAAAATTGAAATAAAATATTTTAATGTGTATTTTTAAAACTCTACACAAATTAAGTATCATCTTCATTTATTTTTGACTGCTGCATTTTCCAATAAGAAATTAAACATCTACACAGGACCAGGCTCACTTTATTTGATAAAGTAACAGAACAAACTAACAGAAACAAATAATTAATTAAAACTAAAGTAGATTTTCAAAATGAACACCTTGAATTATTTCCGGTTTATTTCTAATGTTGCTAAATACATTATTAATTTTTTCCAATAACTGTGCTCGGGTATTAATTTCTTCGTTGTACACCTCTGATTTAAGGTAGCCCCATAAAAAATAATCCATAGGTGTTAGATCTGGAGATCTTGGTGGCCAATTGACAGGACCGCCTCGACCTATCCATCTATTTGGAAAACGATGATTTAAATGACCTCTGACCAGTATTTGAAAATGAGGCCCAGCACCATCGTGTTGAAACCACATTCCTCTGATATTAATCCCGTCTAACAAATTTGGCAGGATGTCTCTATGGAAATTTAAATAAACTTCAGCTGTTAATCTGCCTTCAAAAACATGAGGGCCTATTAACTGATTTTTATAAATACCACACAATATATTTATAGAAAATCTATATTGGGAATGTTTTTGTAATACAGTCTGAGGATTTTCAGTTGTCCAAATATGACCAATCCTAGTGTTATTGATCCCATCACGTGTAAATTGGGATTCATCCGTAAATAAAATTCTCGATTTTGTCCTTCTGTGGGCCAAAGTCCATCTACAAAAAGACAAGTGAGGTACTTTTGTTATCGGTACTGCTAATTCATTACTAAATTCTTTAAACACTGATAGAAGGATTATTTCGAGCTATCCGTAGTATTTCTTCTTGTCGAAGATTATTTCTCGTAGCATGTTCATGTTTAACTGTAGTTGGAAACTTTCCATGTTGCTTACTGAATTCGAAAACCTGTAAAAATGTTTTACAATTTGGTAAACGGTGATTATGAAAGCGTCTGCGATACTCTTTTACTGCTACTCTACCGTCTACCTGCATATTCGTCATTACTAAATTAAAACGGCATCCTAAAATACTTATTTTCATACCATTAGAAATTTACATTTATGAACAAAAGTAATTTAACTCAAAATATACTGTACATAAAATAAATGATATTATTTGACACAAGCATACTGGTATTATACAATTTTACATTAATCATGTTTAGGACGGAATGAGTGATGGTGTAATTTGGCGCATATAGGCAGTTGATTAAATTAAGTTTTCAGCTCGTTTATAAAATACCTAGTTTTTGAACTTTTAAATTTGATTTCATCAGAGTTTTAGTTCATTTTGATTTCCAAATATAATTACCTAAAGATAAACGTGGATAGAGGAATAATTGAGGTAGTTCGAAATCATCTTTCTGTTAGTGTATGAATTAGTAATGAATAAGCAGTACCTAAGGTACCAGAAACAAGTGTATGGAGAACTTAAAAAAAAGTACAGCGACTTCAACACACATAAAATGTTTAGTGTGGAATTTATAAAAAATCATTTAATATCCAAGCACAGTTATTGAAAAAAATTAACAATGTATGTAACAACATTAGAAATAAACCGAAAATAATTGACAAATCGGTGAAAAACCTGTTAACACCCTCGCAGAGGTTTATTGACGTTCACGGTGTTCATTTTAAAAATCTACTTTAGTTTTAATTAATTATTTGTTTCTGTTAGTACCTGCTGTATTTAAAAAAAAAAATAAAGATGTTACCTAATTTGTGTAGAGTTTTAAAAGTACAGAGTAAAATATTTAATTTAAATATTTTTAAATACTGATTTATAATATTGTAGTCGCCTTTATAAAAATTTACTGTAAGAAAATCAAGATAGTGCCATTAAATATTACATTATTTTATTTATTTATCCACTTACTATTTAAATGTGCAGTAACATTTATTACAACCCGATATACAGGGTGATATTCTAGCTAAGAAGAGCAATGTAAAAAAAGAGAGTCCGGTCCTGCAATTTTTTAATATTAAATAATGGTTTTGATTAACCTAATAGAGTGTAACTTTTGTACAAAATTTTATCAAAATATCTCTAGCCGTTTAAACAAAATTGCCGATTTTAGTTTTAGCAAAAAATCATAAAACACCCTATATCTCAGAAACAAGTTAGATTAAAGGCTAAGTATGGAGGTGTTTTGAACTCAGCTAAGTGTACTCTACCTCCCATTAAGCTGTGTCCGTTTAAATCTGAAACACCCTGTATATGCTGCTACTATTCTAAGCATTTAGGTTCCTATAAAAAACATTTACAATGACTAAATTGGGGTTCAACAAAAAAATAACAGTAGCAACTCTTTATTTAACATTAAAACTCCATAAAAATTTTTTTTTCTAGTAATTAAAATTTAATGTATAATTATTGTTGTTTGTAAGTCAGGATCTATGACTGTGAATTTTATTTTATAGAAACTTCTAATAAAATAAACTACACTCCGTGATACATGTTGTGACTAGTTTACAATAAATATTATATTTAGACATAAATACATTTTTTTCACTTATCTACATTAAAAGCTTTAAAAAGACATTGAATTGATTTATCCTTGTGTTTTCTTTAGTTTTACATCTCGTTGTACAATCTGGAACGAAGTAAATCTTGCTTTGATGGTTTTTGTCACTCACGTTGCTTGTAATTAGGTACTTTTTTTCACATTATTTAGATTATTTTCACCAACTAAAAAAAAACACTTTATTTAACATTGACTTACATAGAAAATTGACAGCATTACCGTTCGACATGCTAACTACAGTCAGTTTCGCGAACTTTATAAAAAGGACAAAAATTTGTAATTTGACCATTGCCGATTCGCCTCCTTCTCTCTCTAGTCTTCATAACGAATAGGCAGGCGATTCAGTAGTGCATCTTTTTGACCAGTAGCACCGTTTCAACTATAAATTTTATACAACAGAAGGCATGCTACTATAGAATTTAATCTTTTAGATGGTACAACTTGTCAAAATCGGGCTACTGAATCGCTATTTGGCTGGACCTGAAAGTCATATCTATAACGAGGGGCATATATATTAAAATTATTTATATAAAAAGACGGGGTTAAAAATATTAGGTCAGATAAACTTATCAACACTAAGTACTTGTTTCCATTTGAACAGCTACATATAAAATACTTATTATGCTCCTGATAATCCATATTTCAAGAGAAGATATCAGTTCCAAGTTCTAAAAACTCTGAAATATATACAAGTACTTCTAAACCAACCCTCGCATTTCCGAGCATACATAAATTTATAGGTTATGTCTTAATTATTATTCTTTTCTAAAACTAGTAAAACGTTTTTACCGATTATGTTTAAACAATGGCAGTTAAAACCCTTTTGACTTTTACCATGCTTTTGCCCAGTAGAATTACTTATTCTGCATAAGTCCATCATCAACAAATATAAAGCTGAGTCACTATCGAAAGGCCAAAAGTAAGTTTTTATCTTTTAATCGCTGCATTCACTTTCTTTTCAAATACAGCAAAAGGCAAACAAAAAGCCAGCAATATATAGACAATTAATTGTTTCTTGGGCTGTGTTACAGACGTAGACTTTAAGTTTTTTTTTTTCAGTTATTTACGTCTTAGTCACAATTCACAATTAAGTATGAAATAATTTTCTATCTCTTTATAATTTGTCCATTTGTTATTATTTCTCAGCATCCAGATTACGGTGTTTTGGAAAGCGAATCCTTACCAAAAACGGCTATTGATGCAGACGTATCTTCGCTTTACAAGAAAGACAGCTATTCTGGAGGCGGTATTTGCTTTGTACCAGTGGTACCGATGAAGAAGTGGAAAGTGTCTTTTAACGGGTTAATGAAGTGAGTTAATCATAGTTTGAAAGAAAAAAAATTAAAGTACGCTTCTTCTCTTTAATAATTTATCAGACAATATAACATACACCAATTTTGAAGTCTTCGTTGTTAGTACATCATTTTTAACTACCTTTTATGTATCCTGATTTCTAATAGTCAAACTGTTGCCATGGCAACCGTTGCCATGGTAACCAGTAAACAAAACTGCAAATCCCGTGGTGAGGAAATGCCTAGTTATAGATGATTTAATTTAGGTGAAAGCTGTTACAGATAAATAAGAATACTTGTCATGATAACGACTGAACAAAAAACAAAATTCGTGGTGAGGAAATGCATAGTTGCCAAGTTTTAGATGATTTAATTTAACTTTAGTTTAGCTTAAATGAGTTACGGAGAAACCGTTTCCATACGAACACTTGTCATGGTAACGACTAAACAGATACCTAAATCCCGTGGTGAAAAAATGCGTGGTTGCCAAGTTATAGATGATTTAATATATCTTTAGCTCAAATTTATGGGTAGAAGGCATTATATCTCATCCAAACAAGTAGGTAGCTTATTGCTCATAGTATAATAGCAGAGTTTTGACGTCTTTTTTATTATTAGCACATACAATCCTCATCTTAGTCTTAAGTAATTATTCCCAAAACTCAGTACTCTTCCACAATGCGTCTTCGATTATATTTTCTTTTATCGAACTTGGGTTTATCAACCTAAAATAAATATAAAACTCGAATATTTACAAAAGTCGATCAGGAGCCTATTAAAAAAATGTAACGTAAGCGGATCGAGTGTGTCTAATCGACGTTTTGAAATGCGCCGTCTTTTTTTAATAATAAAAGTGAAAAATACATATCATTAACCTAATATTTTAACAAGTACAGCGCAAGCGAAGTGAGCGCGCCCGTTAGACGTTTCGAAATCCACGCACGTCGGTAGGGCGCCACTTAAAAAAAATAAGTCAAAAATTAATATTAATAAATCTAAAAGAGTACGCTGCCAACGTGTACGCATCCGATGAGAAATAAAACAAAAGTTAAATTAAAACCTAAAGTTTGGTTTTTGGTTTAGTCAATAACATGATAAGGGTTTCCATGACAACAGTTTCTTTATAACTGATTTCAGCTAAAGTAAAGTTAAATTAAATCCTCAATAATTTGGCAACTATCAGGGCCGGGTTCAGCGCGACGCGACGTAATGGTAACTTAACCACTCAACGGTCGTTGTTTTTGACTGTGATAATTATTGAATCAGCATCTATTACAATAGTTAATCAGTTATCTTTATTTCGATGTTCCTCGCTTCCCGTTGTTACTCGTGTCTCGTGTAGTTTTACTTTTTACTCATTTAGTTTTTTTAGCTGTTTTTTTTTCTCTTTTGATGAATGATCTATAAAGTCAATAAGACAAGAAATTTTAGATTATTTATTTTAAAACAAACTTAACTTTATATAATTCCATGTACAAACACATTTATGACACACAAAAATAATATGAGAGTTCGGTCCTGACTGAACAGACGAGACTGTGTTTTCGATGGTCTCCGCATTATTTCATTGTTTAGTGTGGAAAACCAAAGTATTTTTTCTTTACTTGTGATTAAACTATTGTGAATACTGCATATAACAACTGTAAGTGGAAAACCATTTAAATTTTACGATTAAAACTTCCTAACGTAAATAGTAAATAAACACATTCAGTATCGCCGCTATCAAGCGATAATCGCGATAACGAAACCCAAGTATATGCTTCGGCAGCGAAGCAGGTCCGTATTCGATTTCTTGGGCACTCTGTGACTTAAGAAACTTGAATTATGGCATCTAATAGTCAACTGCAACAAAATACCTTAAGTTATTCCTCAGCAGTTTCAAAAATTCAATTTCCGTCTAAAAATCAAGCAATTGTATTCAGCACTTTGGAAAATACACGAATACAAGATTATTTAATACCTCTAGAGTCCCTAATCCAAGCACAAAGTATACTTTTTTCATCACATCTATCCAATAATCGGATATGTATGTACTTATCAAGCAAACAGATGGTAGAAGATTTTATGAATAACCATGGACAAGTACAAGTTCAAAGTGAAATCGTTAAAGCCAGAAGACTGATAACACCATCCATCAGACTCCTTCTTTCCAATGTTTGTCCCACAATACCGCACGATATATTACTACTAGAGCTGAAAAAATTTGGTGTAAATCCTGTGTCACTAATAACATTCCTTAGAATCGGCTCCACGTTACCAGAATATAGTCACATTCTAAGTTTTAGGAGGCAGGTTTATATCAGCCCCCACAATTTATCATTACCAGATTCGTTCACCCTTGATTTTGACGACACTAGCTATAGGATATTTATGTCTCAGGACAATATGGCCTGTTACAATTGCAAAAAATCCGGCCACATAGCCTCTCAATGCCCCGAAAGTCAGAACGAAATTAATCCTTTGCAGACTACCAATACTTATGCAGCTGAAACTCCAACTAATCTACATTTACTAAATTCTACCCCTATTAGTTCTACTACCCAAACTAATATATCGTCATCACCAACGGTTTCACAACCCGAAAAAACTACTCCAGGCATCGCACAAATCCCAGAAGAAAATATTGATACAAACACATCATCCTCACCAGTGGAACAAGCATTATTTACACAAATGGAACCAGTTACACTTAATACTGCACAGACCTCAAATAAAAATCATAACATAGACACAAATTTAAGCAATAACACAAAACGTAATCTAGATGAAATCCTTTCACCCGAAGCAGATCAAGATGGCAAAAATGAAGGCACCTTCGTCTTACCCACACCCAATCCAAAGACCAAGAAAACCAAAATAACTAAGTCTACCACTAATGCCAATACAGCTGATTTCACTAATATTCTAGAACCCACGAAAACTTATATCGAAACACACTCGCCTGCATTCGTCCTTAATTATGATCAACTTTGTCTTCTTTTAAGTAACGTCAGTGGTTCAACAAACCCTATTACCGTAATTCAAGAATTCACTGTAGATATGTTAGGACTCACGCATATGTTATCGAAAATTCACCCTCATCTGAATGGTTCAATAAAGAGGAAAATCACTAACTTAAAAAAGAAAATTTTCGACCATCTCGAAAATGATACCTCTGAATGCGATACAGATTCTTCTCAGCTGAATAAATAATTTATGCTTCTATAACGTCTTTTTTTTATCTAAAATTCACGTCACTTTTGCAGTGGAATATCGATGGATTTTTCCATCGGTTAGGTATGTTACAAATTTTAATTGGTGAGCATTCTTCTGATGTCATATGTGTTCAAGAAACCAACCTTAGTCCTCAAAAAAATTACAACCCTAAATTATTTAACTGCTTTCGACGAGATAGAATTACCAATAATAATTTCTCATCAGGTGGTGTTGCTACCCTAATTAAAAAATCCATAGTGGCCAAGGTTTTTCCAGTTAACAGCAATTTAGAAGTCATAGTAACAGAGGTGAGTAGCTCACTAAAAGATCTTCTGGATCAAATACCTACTCCTCGCTTGATTGTTAGAGATTTCAACGGACATAACCTAATATGGGGCTCATCACATACCGACCGTAGAGGTAAAATTATTGAAAACATGTCTGATTTTGACTTGACATTTCTTAATAATGGTTCTGCTACCTGATTTAACATAAATACCGGAGAGGGATCAGCAATAGATTTAAGCATATGCGACCCATTACTATCTACACGATTGACATAGGAAGTTCTTGAATTTACGTATGGCAGCGATTACCACCCTATAATAATACAAAATTTGATAGTTCCTTCAACGGATATTTTTATCCCAAAATGGAAAACTGATTCTGCTAAATGGAATGATTTTGCAAATCATATTGACAATGCGTTATGGAATTTCCAAATTACAGACGATATTAACGAATCCATATCAAACTCTAATACAATTATTCTAAAAAGTGCCGAGATATATATTGGAAAAACAAAAAAGATTAAAACCAGACGCCTGTACCCTGGTAGAACGTCGAGTGTGAGCGTGCAATTCGAGCAAGAAAAGCAGCATTTAACAAATACAAGCGACACAAATCCATTGAAAACAAAATAGAACACAAAAGAAATAAATCCAAAGCCCAACTCTTAGTGAAACAAGCAAAACGCTCGTCTTGGCATCGCTATGTATCTGAAATAAACAGCACGATACCAATTAAAGAAGTCTGGAAAAGAATAAGGAATATCTCTGGACTAAAAAGTACACCTTTTATTTTCAGCCTTAAAGTTAATGGTAAAATCACAAGCTCTGCCCATGAGTTGGCCAATATTCTTGCTATCAGCTATAAACATATGTCATCTAATGATAATTATAGCCCCACTTTTCTTGAAAATAAAATAGCTGCAGAAGAGACTGATATTTTTTCCGATCCCACCGAAAACACTTTACTTAATCTTCCTCTTAGTATGTCAGAATTGGCCAATAGTCTTAATGATCTGAAAAATACAAATCCAGGACCAGATGACATTCCTGTTATATTTTTAAAGCATCTTCCCGAATCTGCTAAAATACTTCTTCTTAAGTTATTTAACTTCATCTGGCAACAACACAAGTTCCCTTCAATCTGGTCAAAATCTATAACACTTCCGCTACTAAAATATCAGAAATCCCACCTTTAACCTAACTCCTACAGGCCGATCAGTTTAACTTGTTCTATGAGCAAATTGATGGAAAAGATGGTAAACTCCCGTCTAACCTGGACATTATAAAATTGTAATTTATTAATTTTGGAACAAAATGGATTCAGAAAAAACCGTTCAGGAATTGGTAATATCCTTGATTTGGAAAGTGAAGTAAGCGAATCTTTTGCAACGAAACAAATATGCGTTGCCATTTTCTTCGATTTAAAACAAGCTTTTAATACTTGTTGGAAATTTAAAATTCTTGAAAAATTACATTCCTGGAGCATTCGTGGCAATTGTCTTCAATTTGTTAACAATTTCCTGAAAAACAGAT